TCTCTCTCTGTCTCAAAAATAAATAAACGTTAAAGAAAAAAAAATGATCTATTTTGGTACACGTTTTTTTAAGCATGCATAAGTAAGTCAGTATATATCTGGATTTATCTTATTTAAAATGAAATTATTTCCCCATAAAAATATAAACTCCACTTTGCACGTATGTAATATCCTCCCCTCAAAAAAGTTGAAGGGCTTTCCTTCATTCCTGTGTTTGGAGCATCCCTACAAGGCCAGGAGTGGGCAGAAACTGTTCCTATTTCATAGATGGGAAAACAGAGACCTCCCATCCCCACCCAGAGGTGAAACTGCTAGCCCAGAGTCATGGTCATTGGGAAGGTCTGACAGCCAGAGGTCCTGGCCGCCAGGCCAACACTGGTTTCTGGCGACGTGCTGTCTTCTCAAAGGTGTTTATCAATTTTTTTCTTTCATGATTAAATTAATCAAGATTAAACTCTTGGACATGTATGTATGTATGTTGTGTTTATTGTTTTTTAAATGTTTATTTTTGAGAGAGAGCATGAGTGGGGGAGGGGAAGAGAGAGGGGGAACAGAGGATCTTAGCGGGCTCTGCGCTGGCAGCAGAGCCTGCTGTGGGACTCAAACTCACAAACTGTGAGATCATGACCTGGGCCAAAGTCAGATGCTCAACCAACTGAGCCACCCAGGTGCCCGTTGGACATGTATTTAATAGTAGAGGCCATGATAAGACATGGTTACCATACTGTGCTTAGTTCTGCTGATCCGATTAAGGTACTGGCTTCGGCTTATCATTAGAATTTTACACTGGCCAGAGTCAATTATTAAAATCTGTTGCATTGCAATTTGTTTTGGTTGTAAAAACCTGACCCCTGAAGCAAGAAGGGTTAAATCAGAGGTTAGAGGACATCAGAGGTGACAGGGAAGGAAGCTCACCAGAAAAGCAAGGGGTGGGGGTGGGCGTGCTCTGCTCTTTGCAAGTCGTAAAATGCAATGCCTGACAGCTAACACGACCTCGTTGTCTAGTTATGTCCCGTTATGTGTTCTCGGCCGCTGGAAGTGAGAGGCAGGGCGCATACCCCAGACAATCCAGTACCAGGCCACTCTACAAATGTGGTGGGAAACACGCTCAGGCTACTGGGTCGCGGAGGCTGATCGGCAGTGACCTATATGCCTATTCACCATCCAAGGGAACTCTGGGTAGCAGGAAGGCGGGGAAATCGCAGGGAGAGCTTACTTTTAAATATAAGGCAGCGCCTGCTCTTTGCCGCTAGGTAACTTGCTACATAACTTGCTCTGCTGAATCTCACTTGATTTGCACAGGGCCTGGTGCACAGCAGGGCCTGGTGCAACAGCCCTTTGAAGGCTAAAACCTCCCACCCCCTAGACAGGTAGGCATCCCATGGCAGGGAAGCTGAGCCAGGCAGCTCAGGTGTGAACTCGGAAGCAGCTAACACTCAGGCAGAGCCCTGTCTTTCCCTGAGCGCCAGCCTCCCTGGGTGCCTGGCCCTCAGCAGGGCGTTAGGCCAGCATCAGCCAGCAAGGCCTCTTGGTGCAGACCTGCGAGGTCCTATATCCCCGCGGGAGCTTTAGCAGTAAGGGAAGTGCCTGTGAGAGGATAAGGGAGGCCCAGGGGTCCCCGGGCTGTGGAGCGGATCTGCCCCCAGACCCTGTGCTCTGTCAGTGGAAACCAACTGTGAGCACAGACTCAGGCCAGCCCATGGAGAGGAGGAATCTGAGAGCCATCGGTTTACAGTAAAGTGCAGTGACAGGGGACCTGGGCTAACGGCGGAAGAGAATGCCCAGAACTTGGGAGTTAGCAACTGAACAGATCAAGAGTCCCACAACATAAATTTGAAGATCTGCATTATTATCTGCAGCTGAAGAAAAAATCAGATTTCTAAAATACCCCCACCAGCATCAAATATGCAAGATTTAGAATAATCAAATGCAATATGAAAAAGGTACGGGGAGGCCAGTACTAGCACTTGGATCCTATAAAATACACATTACTCCTCAAATAAGTTATGCCCAGAGTCCCGTGTGGGTTCACATGGTACAAAAATGTGCAATGAAATACTTGTTGAAACACCTATCCCTTGCCTCTGAGTTTATTTGTTTTAGCACCTAGCTGAGTTTTTTCTTTAAAACACAACTATGGGGAGTGCCTGGGTGGCTCAGTCAGTGAAGCGTCCGACTTCGGCTTAGGTCATGATCTCACGGTTCGTGAGTTGGAGCCCCGCGTCGGACAGTCTCCTGTCAGTGCAGAGCCTGCTTCGGATCCTCGGTCTCCCTCTCTCTCTCTCTCTGCCCCTCCCTTGCGCTCTCTCTCTTTCTCTCAAAAATATATAAACATCGTAAGAAATCACAACTGTCACGTCAAATGGCTGTGCATTAAAATCATTTCAAGTTTTCAAAAGATTTAAGATTAGTGTTCTAGAAAGAACTGAAGCTTCTGTCCAAATATTTCAAATTTGGATCCCTCCACCACCAAAATAAATGGATTGAAAAAAAAGTCTTTTCAAGGGCAATTACACTACTTTGAAAACGAAGGTGGATTTTAAAATAATTGTTCGTTAGAAGGAGTTTAAGTGCTAAAAAGAAATGAAAGAACCATTAAGCTGGAAAATATCTTACCTTGAGAAGTTGAGGAAATGAACATGTCGAGTGAATAAATAGGGCTGTTCGGCAGTACTTATATTTTTAATCAGTTCCATCTATTAAAAAAAGTACAAAATTAGCATATATAGGATCTAATTTACCAAACTATATTAAGCTAAAGGTTATCTTCCCTACTCCTTTATCCTCACTCATTACCACTTGGACCAGGGCCAAACAGCTGTGTTTTGTGCAACAGTTGTGAACTTTACATTAGGCTTCTTGCTGAAATTGATAGTCTTGTATTTAATTTAGTTGATCGCTACCATGAAAACAATGTGACAGGTTAAGTCACTTTAACTTGAGAATTCAGTGCGGCTGTACTGAAATGCAAGTAAAAAAATGTCTCTATGCCCCTTCTTTGGGAGTCAAGACAAGGCAAGAGGTTAAACATCATTTTACATTTCTATAATTACATTCTTGAGATATACAGAAATATTTGAAGCCAGGTCTGCAGAATTTAAAAGCGAGAACAAAATGAGGCAATACCTTATGATGTTCCTTTTTGATTTCAAAAATGTACAAAGCAGGTATTTTATAGGGAACACACAAAACACCCAAAACTTCTCGGTTTTCTGGTGGGTGGTCATCTGAAGTATTTATTTGCAGTTATCAGCAAGGCGAAGAGGAGTTTATATTTGTATAAACTAACGTTTACGGTCTTCTGGAACATGTCATGATACAGAAAATGTTTAGTAAAATCTGTTAGAAATTCCAAGCATTCTTCTGACTCCCTGACTTCCTGAATTCCACTTTCCTTAGATTTTCGAATTGGCCCCATCAATACTGACACACAGTGGAATTTTTTTTAAAGCACATTGAAAATTGCCACTTTGGATGTACATTACCTCTTCGGAAACAGTCCACGTAGAACACTGGAAACAAAGGCGGTCGTTCATGTGTTAGCCACAGTAGCAATAACCACAATAAAACCAGAGTCCAGAACTCCAGGTTTGGGTCGAGCCGGACAGAAAACCTGAATCTGCCTGGTTCCCTCATGTCCGGCACAGGGCTCACGTCATAAATAAATGCTCAACAAATATTTGCTCAACAAATAACTGCTCAACAAATAACTCCCCCTAGTACCTGCATTTTAGATTGTTACGGCAGGATCTCAGTGTCTCAAGCCTTTAATTAGATATTCAGGCTCACAACGACTGTTTGAAGAAATGAAATTGAATTTTAAAGGTAAATGACTGGCACTTCCTAACCTCCTACACGGTTCATCAGTGGCAGGCCTGGGTAAATGATGATCTGCCTGTCCCCAAGCTTGAGTATAAAAGGAAACTGAACCCTGCTTCTTTATCTGTTGTTTATTCTGTGCACCACTCCCTCCCTCCACACACCCCTTGCATGTCCCAGCACCTGTTTTTGGCAACAGAACTTCCTGCTGGGTCACCTAAATTTTCATTTTTGATGGATCTAACAAATAGACTTACAGATTTGGAAGCACAACCGAAGACTTCTGTTTGCTTAGAAACATAACTCTACGTTAAACGTGCTTAACGCGAAGACCACGTAATGCTTTAATCTCTAGATTATTTTGATTCAAGTATTTCTCTGCATACATGAAAGTAATACGAGAGAGCCCCTCGTATCGTACAGGAAGACTGGAAGAACAGGTCAGAAGGGCAACTGTTTCTTTCGCCTATTCTTCAGCATCATAATATATCCTGTAAACACATGCCAATGTGTTCAATTTAATGGAAGAGCTGTAGTGGTTCGATTTGGAGAGCAGTGTCGTAATAGTTCTAAAGCTGTCTATCTCACAAGGAGAAACGGATTCGCGGTGACAGCGTGTCACCCTTTCTAGACGTACCCTTAAACGTAGGTGAGAAGTACTAATGCTCATGTTTAGTGCATCGGTACACCGAAGTCGGAGCGTATATCCAGCTCTCACACGCTCCATTGCTGCACACAACAGCGAAACCACGTACGAGGCCCCGCAAGCATGGGTGTAAGGCATTATGGTCAAGGTGTCCTTTGCTTTGTCTTCACGAATGCTAAGACTTTCCCTAGGTCTAACGGCAGGCAGTGGTCTCCCGTGCCCCTGCTGCCCTTCCCCGGAGTTTCGTCCTGGACCTCCACGGTTGCCAGCGGCCTGCCTTTTCTCTGGCCCGAGTCTTATCTGCACGGGTGGCATCACAAGTGATAATGGCACTACCTAAAATCGTCTCAGAAACCACCTGTCCTTTTCCTTGGCTCATGCAAGGCCACTGCCAGCCTTTATTCTGATTCCATTGCCTACATTCGTCATTCATTCACTCAGCATTTATGGAGTACTTACTAGGCTTTGGAGACCCTGGAGATCAAAACATAATTGAGGTGAGTGAGAAGACACAGAAAGACAAGACAGTGGAGTGTGTCCTAATGGTGTCCCCAAATCCACGATGACACTCTCGGTCCTCATCCATCTTTACTCCTTATCCAGCTTATGCCATCTCTGCAGAATGTGGTCCTGGCTGATGGTACTCTCCATTCATCCATACCTGGCTAATGGTATGGTATCCATACCATTTCACATTTGATCTGGCTCTTTCCTGACACTCGTATTTAGTCACTTGCTGAGTTACGTTGATTTTACCTTTAGTATGACACTCAAATGGCATTTAAGGTGTCCTGTGGCCAGCCAAACAAGACCTCTCCTTGTTCCTTCCTTATACTGTGTCCAAGCTTGACCATATCCAAGCACAGGCTCAAGCTTCCTCTTCTGGAATGTTCTTCCTCTTTTCTCTGCAGGTCCAAACCCTAACCACCTTTTACATCCTGCTAAAATGCCTACCTCTTTCAAAGTAGCCTTCCCGGATCTCCTTTTATTCAACATCCATTGATTTCCAACTCTGTGTCAGGCAATGTACTGCTTGGGGTTGTTGCTATAGAGACAAAAGATCGGGTTCTTGCTCTCAAGAAGCTCAGAGTCTTGCCGGCAAGCTGGACCATTATGTGATACCATTATGTGATAACCACCATGGGGTAGAATGCACAGAAGTGAGTGGCCTATCCCTGCCTGTAGGTGGAGAGTTAGTGTTTCCTCAAGGAGGCATTCCTGAGTAGTTGGCAAGGATTCACAGGAGTCAGCAAGTGAAGAAAGGGACCTGTGGACTGCAGACAGAGGAAACAGTAGACGCAAAGGACAAAACCCGAAATGACCTGGATATTAAAACTGCCAGGAGTTCTGTGTGCTAGGCATTGGCTGTGGGATCTGCGGGGCAGTAGAAACAACTAGAGAGGAAGGCAGAAGCGGGTAATTGAGGGCCCTGCAGGCCATGTGAGGGATTCTGATCTTTATGCTATGGGCAATCCACAGTCAGAAAGGGCTTTCCTTCCAGATCTGAGATCGGGGCAGAGAATGTAAAGAAAGGAAGGGTTAGAGACAGCTTAGCTAGGAAGACGGGGCAATAATCCCAAGAGGAAATGACGCTGGCATGAACTAAAATAGTGCTTCCTAGTGTGGCCCCCAGACCAGCAACATCGGCAGCAACTGGGGTCGCAACTTGTTAGAGATGCTCAGGCCCCACCCCAACCAACCAACCAAATTAGAAGAAACTCTAGTGGGTGGGGCCCATCAGTCTGTGTGGGGTATTTCTTGTTCGTTTCTTTATTTTGAGAAAGAGAGAGAAAGCACACGCACAAGCATGGGAGGGGCAGAGAGAATCCCAAGCAGGTTCTACACGGGAAGCACAGAGCCTGACACCAGGCTCGAAGCCACAAACCGTGAGATCATGACCTGAGCCGAAACCAAGAGTTGAACACTTCACTGACTGAGGCACTCAGGGACCCCATCAATCTGTGTTTTAACAAGTCCTCCAGTAGATTCAAAGGTACTGAGGGTTGAGGACCACAGAAGGAAGTCACTGAAAGTGAAGACAGATGGGGAGGTTTAGGGACATTAAGAAGGATCTTCCTCAGGCCTGTGGCCAGGTGGCAGCAGAAGGGAAGGAGAGGGAGTGGTCAAGAGAGCATCCCAGAGCCCTGGCCGGATTCGGGCACAGGCTGGTGCCCATTCGTGGGGATGGGAACGCACGGCAGGAACACGTCTGGCTGCAGAAGTCAGGGCAAACGGGTTTGGTTTTGAACACCTTTGGCTAGAAATGCTGTTGCCTCTTTGATCTCCCACAGAGCTTTGAGGATTTTCCAGGACATACATTTTTTTTTACGTTACATCATAGTTGAGTTTGTGTGCTGTCTTTGAGCCAGACTGTAAGCTCCTTGAGGGTCGAGGCTGGGCTCTAACTGCTCCCCCAGAAAGCCTGGCACAGAACACATACCCCATCACTGTTTATGGCATGAAGATACCCCTTCCAAAAGAACTTCTTTGGAGTCAAGAAACGTATAGCTCACTGAAGACAGAATTATCTCTCAGGCAATGGAAGCTAGCCTTTCTGGGACAGACCTATACACTCATCACCCTGGTGTTACACCATCTAAGACACAGCAACACTAAACTATCATTTCCTGGCTGGTTTCTGGGCTCTGCAGTGTCCAGAAGCTCTTTCTTCACGTGCTGCCATTCATCCTCAAACAACTCCGCAAGTTAAGTAGTATTATCTACACTTTACAGGTTAAGACACTCAGGCACAGAAGGGCTGTGTAAATTGTTTAAGATCTCACTGCTAGAAAAAGGTGGCATCAGGATTCAAACACAAGTCGGTCTGACACAAAAAATCCTGCTCTTTATCACTAAGCTGCAATCTCCTACCATTCCCAGTGCTTTCTGATATATACATGACCTCTTAAAAGGGAGGAAGGGGGTGCCTGGGTGGCTCAGTCAGCTAAGTGTCTGACTTCAGCTCAGGTCATGATCTCATCGCTAGTGAGTTCGAGCCGCGTTATCGGGCTCCCTGCTGTCAGCATGGAGCCCACTTCGGTTCCTGTCTCCCTCTCTCTCTGCCCCTCCCCAGCTCGCACTTGCTCTCTACCTCAAAAATAAATAAAAAACATCAAAAAAATTTTTTTTTACAAAGGGAGGAAGAGGTCGCTTAGCAAAATAACTCCAGGGACTAAAGAGGGTTTATGGGGATGTGCTTTTTCTATCCGTCCTGTGATGTGTTAAAAAACT